GAGAGAGAGAGAGAGAGAGAGAGAGAGAGAGAGAGAGAGAGAGAGAGAGAGAGGTGGAACAAGGGGAGGAACACTGACCTTTGCCAATGTACGCCGCGGATATCCAAGGCGGCGGTGGGTCGCAGTAGTTGAAGAATGCATTACACGGTGGATTGCAGCCCTTTTTTGGCGCGGTGGCCTGGAAAAGTATGGGCTTTGAATTCAAATTCTTAGTGCCTCCCTGCTGGAGGGCATCTCAGGAAGATGCATCCCCCACAGAAGGGCAAATCGGACAGGCAGCAGGGGAAATAGGATGGCCAGTCCGGTAGGGGCATTCCCAAAGGTTGTGCCCCTCACTGACAGGGGCCTGCACGAAAGTTCAGAGGCCCAGGGGCATATCAGGGTAAGTCGGCTGTCGGAGGGGCAAATTGCAAATAAACGCAAACTTCAGGGGCATTCCGAAAATTTTCCCTTCTTTTCCCCCAAGACTTGAATAAGAATTCCAGGATGGTGCTCCGGCAAACGTTGCTTGTATTGAGATGCTGCACAGCATATATTTGTTTCAGATTTTTTTGGAGGTTTTTTTGTTTTCTTTTTTTCCGCATGTGCTATCCATGCAAGGGCAAAAGAGCAAGAAGCAGCGGAGGACGGGAAGCGGCGAACGACAGGAAGCGGCGAGCGGTGGGAAGCGGCGAACGGCGGGAAGCGGCGAACGGCGGGAAGCGGAGAGCGGCGGAAAGCACTTCCCGCCCTCTACCCTCCGCCATCCATCAGCTGCCCTCCGCCCTCTACCATCACTCTCTAAGTTCCGCCGCTTCCTGCCCTCTGCCACTGCCCACCCTCTACCACTTTCCGCCTTCCGCCACTTCCCACCCTACACCCTTCGCCATCCATCCGGCACCGTCCATCATCCGAGTCCTCCGCCATCGCCCATCCCTTCGCCGTAATTGCCACCGCCGTCACCACCGACATTGTCACCGACATCACCACCTCCAACGTCGTCACTGCGGCCATCCCCTCCATCACCACTGCATCGCCACCACCATCACCATCACCACCGTCGTCGCCTCTGCCACTGCCGCCTCCACCCTCGCCATTGCCTCCGCCACCATCTCCGCCTCCGCCACCACCTCCGCCTCCACCACCACCTTTGCCTCCGTCGTTGCCACCGTCGCCATCACCGCAATTGCGTAATCAAATCGATTAGGTAATTGATTTGATTATGCAATTGCATGGATTGTGTAACCAAATCAATTACGTAATCATAATCGATTTGATTATGCAATCCGCGCAATTGAATAATCAAATCGATTACGTAATCAATACGATTACACAAATGCGCGGATCACGCAGGCGGAAAAAAAAGAACTCCCAAAAATCGCAAAAATATGTGTTGTGCAGCATCTCAATTCAAGCAATGTTTGCCGGAGCACCATCCCGGAATTCTTATGCAAAACTTGGGGGGGAAAAAAGAAATGAAAAACAAACGAGGGAAAAAAAACAACAACAACTCAACCCCAGTTGTTTATTCTTCGTTTCCCCCCCCCCCCAGGATTTGAATTAGAATTACGGGATGGTGCTCGGGCAAAACGTTGCTTGAATGGAGATGCTGCACAACATATTTCTTCAGATCTTTTTGAGGTTTTGTTTTTCTTTTTTTTTTCGCCTGTGCGATACGTGCATTTGGGTAATCAAATCGATTACGTAATCAATTTAATTATGCAATTGCGCGGATTGCATAATTAAATCGATTATGATTACGTAATTGAATTGATTACACAATCCATGCAATTGTATAATCAAATCAATTACCTAATCGATTTGATTATATAATTGTGGTGATAGCGATGGTGGCAACGGCGGAGACGGAGTTGGTGGTGGAGGCCATGGCAGGGGTGGAGGCGGTGGCGTGGTTTCTCTTTTTTTCCCAGGATTTGAATTAGAATTACGGGATGGTGCTCGGGCAAAATGTTGCTTGAATTGAGATGCTTCACAACATATATTTTTGCAGATTTTTGGGAGGTTTTGTTTTTCCCGCCTATGTGATCCGTGCATTTGCGTAATCATATTGATTATGTAATCGATTTGATTATGCAATTGCGTGGATTGCATAAGCAAGTCCTCTTACGTTATCAAATTATTGCAATTGCATAATCAAATCAATTACCAATTACGTAATCGATTTCATTACCCAAATGCTCGGATTGCGTAGGTGGGGGAAAAAAAAATCGGGCGGGGGGAGGGGGGGGACAAAATTTGAAAAATATATATGTTGTGGAGCGTCTTAATACAAGCAACGTTTGCCCGAGCGCCATCCTGAAATCCGTATTATAAATCTTTGGGAAAAAAATAAAAACGACAAACCAACAACCAGGTTGAAGGTTTTTTTTTTTTGCCCTGATGGCGCTCTAGCAAATGTTGCTTGAATCCAAATACGACACAACATATACCTTTTCCAGATTTTGTTTTGTTTTGTTTTTTTCCGCCTGGACGATCTGTGCGTTTGCGTAATCAAATTTGATTATGCAATTGCGCAGATTGCATAATCACGCAATGGATTTGATTACTCAATCCGCACAATTGCATAATCAAATCGATTACGTAATCGATTTGATTATGCAAACGATGATGGCGATAGTGGCAGCGGCGGAGACGGAGGTGGTGGCGAAGGCGATGGCGGGGGTGGAGGTGGAGGCGGTGGCGACGGCGGAGGCAGTGGTGGTGGCGATGGCAGTTATGGTGGCGATGGCGAAGGCGACGGAGGCGAAGGTGGTGGTGAAGACGGTGGCGATGGTGATGGCGGTGGTGATGGAGGCGATGGCCGCAGTGGTGACGTTGGGGGCGGTGATGTCGCTGACAACGTCGGTGGTGATGGCGGTGGCGGTGGCGATGGAGGCGGAGGGCGATGGGCGATGGCGGAGGATGATGGAGGGCGCCAGGTGGATGGCGGAGGGAAGAGGGTGGGAAGCGGAGGCGGGCGGGAAGCAGCGGAAGGCGGAAAGTGACGGAGGGCAGGAAGTGGCAGAGGGCGGGAAGTGGCAGAGCTTCGAGGGTGATGGAAGAGGGCAGAGGGCAGAGGGCGGAGGGCGGCGGGCAATGACAGAGGATGGTGGAGGGCGGCGGATGGATGGCAGAGGGAGGTGGATGGATGGTAGAGGGAAGAGGGCGGGAAGCACTTCCTGCCACTCGCCGCTTCCCGCCGTTCGCCGCCTCCTGCCTCTTTTACCCTTGCTAAGCATATTGTTTAGACCACCAGTCCATCATTGGCCCGAGCCAAGTTGAGAATCTGGTTGACCCTCCCCTAGAATTTGGAAGGCCTGGTACAGGGCATCTTTTGGGCCATTGGAAAAATGCCGCGCGGTGGCATAGGCCTAGCCATGACGCAAAAAGAAATTCCCCCCGCCCCTAGACAAGCCCTGTCCCGATTCCCCTAGCTTTTTGTAGAGGCTCATTTGAATTCTCTACATGCTGACGATTCAATGAGCCTACTTTTCTTGCGTTTCCTATGCCAAAAGGACCCTGCCATATACTTGTGCATAAGACTTCTCAGAAAATAGCTATTCCCGTACACGAAAAAAACGGAGCCTTGAAATATTGGCAATAACATGTTTTTGTTTCTTTGCACTGCATCTTTTCTGTTATCTGTCGGGAAAAGCCGTTTTTTTTCCTGACATTTTTGTGACAGTGGCCACTGCATGTCTTGTGCGAACGATTTCAAAACGAGTAGTTTTTCAAAAACTACTCGTAAAGTTTTTGAAGGTGGTCCCGTTTTCACAACTTGTAAAAAAAGTCAGAATCTCCGGAACCACCCAATTAGTCCCATCCATTACACCAAAAGGTCATCAAGAAACCTTAGCTCTTCGGTGGATTCTTGAAGGCGCCTTGTGGAGACGACGTTTGACCAAAAAATACATATCAAGTTTAGATCAATCTTTATCTGCTGAAATACAGTATGCTTCGTTTGTCTACTTTTCACGAACTGCGTGTTATTTCTGAATTACCTAGGGCCGGTCAGTTCACTGATGATATCTCAAGGCCGTCACCCATAAAAGAAAAATAATAATAAAATAAAATAAAAATTGCAGTTTGACCGACGGGCCTAGCTAGATTCTTCTCTCGATTTCACCTCGCACTACCCGCCTACTACTCCTCCTGATCGTAGTATTACGGGTAACCTCGTAGCCGCAACAGCCGTGTTCATGAGAGCACATGCTTAGCCGCACCCGACCTGCAGGTGGGCTATACCAGCCAGGGTTCAGCCCGTAGCATCAGGACCCATGCCAACAGGTCCAATCCCTGGCCTAACTCAGTTGTTACACCCATGCACTTTTTTTTTTTTTTTTTTTTTAACTAAGAGGGAACTTTCTTGTACAAGCCAGGAAAGGGCCCCGGGCGTCCCTTGACAATTGCTGTTGCGCTCCCCCTTTGGGACGGCATCACCGGCCGAACCCAGAGTGGGAGTCCCGGTGGTCCCCACAACTACAGACACAGTGACCGGGTGTGATCAACCCAAATCATCCCAGTGTGAGTCTTCTTCTGTGCTACCAGATACCACAAGACAAAGCAGACATAGTGGTATGTTCTCCACTAGTCTCCACCTGTGCAAAACGATAATGAATCTTCCGCTAGAACATGGAAAGCTGCACAGCCATGATGTGCAAAACCCAGAGGGCCTCGCTCCACTACTCTCCAACTGTGCAAAACGAGAGTGAATCTTCCGCTAGAACATGGAAAGATACACAGCTGCCATGATTTTTGTCGTTTGTGCACGTGGAGAGTAGCGGAGCCATGCCCATAGTGGTGTTTCCACTCTACCCGGGGCCAAGTCTACAAGCGTTGACCTTCCTCAACTGTTACACCGAATCTGGACGTGTTTGTGGAGATGAGTGTGCGGTTGATTGAACTGAACTCGAAAAACAAAGAAAAATAAAACCTCGATTTCCTGCATATCTCCCCAAACACGTCCAGATTCAGGAGTTAAGGAGACTCAACGCTGCTACTGGAACATGGCCCCAGCCCCCCAGGTGTCGAAAGACAAAGAGAAGAACTAGCAAGAAGGGGGGGAAGCCCAACTTGAAGCAGAAAAAATAGTTAAACAGGAAGGGCGAAAAACTAAAAAAAAAAAAAAAAAAAACTGCTACTTTAAGGAAGGGCAATTGGGTAAGAAAAATCCATAGCACGAAGGTTCACAATAAAATCCCGTGCTAGGAATCCGCGATATTGGACTCCCGCACAGTCCCTCCCGGCGCCGCCCCTCCGGCCGGGTACACCATGGGGGCATGGTCGCAAGGCTGTGTAGACGTTGTATGGGGGGTCCCCCCCCAATAGAGCGTCCTACTGGCTATGCTTACGACATACACAGTTCGGAGAGGGGGGGGGGGGTCTATGAGAGCGACTGGGTGCTATTGGGAGTCTCCAGGCTTGGAATGCCCCCACTCTGCCCTGGGTGTGTTGTGGGAGTGTGATTAAAGCACTGGCCGCCAGGGTAGGGCCTGCCTAGAGTAGTAGAACCTATTTGAATACAACATATGAATAGAATGCTGTATGTTGCTTCGTTGGTATTCGAAAACAACGTACGAATTCGAATCTCGAATGCAATGGAGGCACGTATGTTCGTAGTATTCCAATGCAACGTACAATGTACGCTACACAATTCACAAACATGATACATCCTATTCCAACAACAACAACAACAACAACAAAAAAAAAAAAAAAAAAAACCAGCAATTTTCAATTTTGCCAGTTTCTGAAAACCCCACATCCTTAAGATATCATCATCATCATCAAGTTTAGAGACCCTACTAGGTAATTCAGGCATTTCTGTCGAAATAGTTGCGTCTGGATTCCAACTTGGGTCTGTGTTTCAACAGTTCATGGGTGTACCAACTGGGCAAGGCCCGTTGGTAAATTAAAAAAAAAAAACAAAAAAAAAAACGTTCTTGATGATTTTGATCACCATTTTCTGCCCTGTAGGGCCTGTACTGTTTTAAATTTTCTTTGTTTTGGTAATTTAAAAACGGGAATTCATTCGTAATAAGTATAGCATTCTTTGTCCCACACGACTCTGTTTTTTGTTCGAACTCTTCACCCCCATCCCCTATCCCAGGAAATTGTTCTGCTGATTGTTGATTTCAATTTTTGATTTTGGTTTACACTTTCAGATTCTTGCAAGTAGTTACTGTACTTCTATTCATTGTAGCAAATGCATATGGACCCGCGCGGTGCACCAATTCAGCCACCGCGTAAAACGTGGAGGTACTGGTGGACGCCGGGCGGCTCGCACTTAGGGGAGAGAAAGGCGTATAGGAGCTGTCAGAGTAGGTTAGGAGTCTTAGGACAGATTGCTGTATAGGACTGAAAGACCGGTTCAAAAAAAATGAACTCTCAAGGATAGCTCAAGGGTATAGACTACAGATAGATAGGGGCTGATAGGGCGCGGGACTCAGCAGGAGCTGGGATTGAGTGAGGTTGACGAGCAATTGCTGATCATTACGGGTGGCTGATCATCAGCCGCTGATGGCTGTAACTGTGGCCTGGGATGGACTTGGCCGAAAGTGCCTCGCCCAGCCCAATTGGCCATGGCAGATATGTGAGGGACGCCGGGCCCGGTTGCCAGCATTGTAATAAAGCAATTGGGAAAAAAAAAAAAAAAAGATCCCTCCTTCCCTCCCTCCTTCCCTCCTTCATTCCGTTCCTCCCTTCCTCCCTGAACGGGCCCGAAAATTCCCTCCCCCTCCCTTGGCTACCACGCAATATTACTTCGTTCGCCGGTCATGACCAATGCGATAGCCTTTGAACGCAAGATCGTTGCGTTATAACACTCCATAGGAAGAAGGACAAAAGGAGGAGAGAGAGGGAGAAGCAAAGGAAGAAGGAGAAAAGGAGGAGAGAGACGGAGAAGAATCGATGGACACACTGAACAAGAACAGGAATAATGGAGAGAATCCCACGTTCACAAGACACCAATTTGAAATAGTAATCCAGAAGCGCGTTTAACTTACCTTTCTCTCTCAAATCCACGAATTTCAAAACTTCTCACTCACACTTCACCAAGCCAGAAGCCCCGGCGTTGACAGTTAAACTTTCAAGTTGTCGTCACACGTGTGACGATGACGCATATCCAGTGGTCGTCACACCCTGCTTGGCCCAACCAGCAAGCCAGGTTCTCGCCCGTGCCCTGCAGTCCGTCATAGCGACACGAAAACCCCGCATGATCAGCGCTGGCCCATCAGGACTGTTCTGTCCACCAATAAACAGACGTATGTTATGATCCTGGTTCTTTGTTGTCAGAAGACCAAGACTTGCTTACATAGACTTTCAGGTATGCCCATTGCCCATACATACACAGAAGGAAGGGGAGAGGATGGGAGGACCACACCGCACAGGGAGAGAGAAACACAGCGGAAGACTTTTGCATGCAATATGACAGAAAACACTGAATCAATGTGCAATTCGCTCCACCGAATCCTCACAACCAGTCACAAAGGAGAGCCGAGTAGATCACATCTAGGAAACAATGAAGCAACGATAGTCTACACACAGTATTCACACTGTTTATTAAACTCGAGAGTCTCGAAATGTCAGAATAACCCCAGATCCATGGTGCACTGCTCAGAAATGAGCAGCGCTTCACTCCCCAACCCTGAGTAACCACTTTCACTACCCCAGAGCCCCTGAAACAACCAGCGCCACCTCGATACAGCCTCCAGAGGGAAGCACCACCCTGAAACAGGCCTGTGAGGCCAAGCGCCTCTCAGAGGATGAAGAGGAAGACCAGCGCCACAGTATCTGATGAAGATGAAGTGTCTGAAGACTCCCCGGATGGAAATTTGTAGCAGCGCCACTTCTCCTGACAAAGATGATCTCTGAGGATGAAAGCTGCAGCTACGGCTGCAGCGCCGCACACCCTGACACCCTACTCATCAGGAGGGTTCAGCAGGGCACCAACTTCTTCTGCCTCCAGCAGACTTCAGATAACCCGGACCTCTGAACAGCCCAGCGTGCTGTTAGAGAACAGCGTAGGTCCCAGCTATGGCCGACGCTTCGCAGGCCCGGCTATTTCTATCTTCTCCAACGCTGAATCTGTCACCACTCCAGTTCATGCGTTGCGCAGCAGCGATGTACATGGTACCAACTGCCAAAAGCCCCGAACAGACTTCTACAAACTATTAATAGTACCACACTACCCTAGACTAGACCTAGACCGGACTGACTGGACCGACCGGTACCGTTTCAGTTTCGGCCTCTGGGGCCTCTCCCTACCCGACTATAGGCTAAGGACCGTCTATCGGTATAGGCCCTTAGGGCAGTCCGTCCTAGTTGTAGCTCGGGCCTGCTATTCGCAGTTAGGGTAGCTGTAGGAAATTCTAGTTAGTGTGGCC